GGATGCTTACTCAATAGTATTAAGATAATTCTACGATAAGTAGGATCCAAATTATCGATCCCTGCCATCAATAGGTATGTTGATTTCATGAAACAAATATATTCTGAGGAAGATTACGCCAGATAATGGGCAAGACTAGGCTTATACCGATTTGTTCTCGACAACACGACACTCTATTTTCAAACACAGGGATTTTTAACTTATATTTAGTAGTAAACGTAGAAGAATATTTCGAATATAGAAATAAAATGATTTAAATTAAAACAAAATTCTTTCACAGCTATATTTTGAAAAAAGCACTTTGTACCAGTCTAGGCATTACAGACTATATTATAATTTCGCACAATCATTAAACAGATTTGACAATGCTGATGTTTTGTCGGTGCTAAGTGTATACGTACTTTCATTTATGACACTCAGTTGACACAGATTGTTGAAGACATTTGATCAATTCCCTGAGATCATACGTTTTGATATTATCGTTGTAATTGAAACTTATGTATTACGATGACTGTTTATGCATTCAATATTACATACTATATACAATACTTCATATTTATTGTTGGTGTAGCAAATCAAAAAGGTCTACACATTATTTTAAATTAAATGGACTGACAAAATGCCCCAAGCATACTCAAGAATAAAGCAATTAATTGAAATGCACAAAAATCTAAGAATGTACATTAATTAAGATGGCGGCCGGAGTGGGTAAAGTGTTGTTTGTGCTCCTGCTTCTTGGGCTTTTTATGCAGTTTTACAGCAGCCTGTATAAACTGAAACTTTGCAAACATGACAGTTATCACCCCAACAATACATGGCCAGTCTTGGATTTAAACATTTGTATATACGGAAAAGAGATTTCAGCAAGGAAGTTACAAGTACAACACAAAGGCCAGATAATGTGAAGGTGAAAAGTTCTCATTTGGCATTCTACCTTTACCTGTTATTGTCAAACGACATAGAGCTTAATCCTGTCCCTGAAGAGCAGGGTATTAGTACTAGAGCAGGGACGAACTGTGATCGGTGTAACTCACCTGTATACCTGGAAAGCATTGAAGTATACTGTACTGGATGTTTTAATTCTTGGCATAAAGAATGCCTTCCAGACAATTATATAGCAGTTGGAGAGGAAAATCTGTAGAAATGGTTCTGTGACCAGTGCATTGACACTGTCAACAATGTAGAGACATCACAGCCAACATTTCTGGAATGTCTTATTGACAGTCAAGCTCCTAATTGACTTAAATTGTCGTCGTGGAATGTCAGAAGCTTAAACAACAAATTTGATGAATTCAAAATATTAACTCTAAATTCAGATGTGGACGCTATTGGTGAAACAGAAACATGGCTCCATGAAAACCATCTAGACAAAGATTTCCAAATAGGTGGCTATGACTTACTTCGCCTCGACAGGAAATCAAAAGTGGGCGGTGGTGTAGCATTCTATGTGAAAAACGATTGTCGTTGTGTCAGGAGAGATGACTTACTTACAAGATTCAACAAGTAATACACCTATAAAAAATTATCATATAACATAATATGTAATCCATTTAGTTGTTCAAAGGCAGGATAATTTACGTTTTAACATTTATTCAACGATTGTGTCAAAATAACTTACCAAGGCAAATGAATCGTCTTAAAAATGTACAATCACAGAACAAAAATACAATGCCTTCATTTTGGGAATGCCCATGATCATGATACAACCCTATCATAAAAGTCTATATATTTCTTAATGCACAGAATTAATTCCTCTAGTATTATTGGAAAAATATACCGACCTATTATCCTAAGAATACGTGTGTTATATATGGAGCGACGACAGTTTACAAATGTTAGGATTGTTTTGCCAAGTCAATCATAATACATGTATGTCGCTTTCTTCATGTAACATACATATAAACGTTTCAGTATCTTTGGATTTGCTAAACGTTAAACCCATCAGAGATTTTGGAAATTTTGTGACAGTTAACATTTTCCATCAAAAGACGATCATTTTATGCAAAGTTTTTTTCTTTTTTTCTTTTTTTTTTTCTTTCCAGTTTTTGATAAATTTAATGAAACTCTGAGATCATTAACACACATTTGTTCATCTTGTTTACTTATTATATGATTATCAAGTTATCACAAGGATTTTTTTACATATACAAAAAATAGCAAATTCTCTCACACTCACATCTACACGTTTTAAAATATCATCATCATCATCATCATCATCATCATCATCATCATCATCATCATCATCCATAACGAATCATTATCATCATATTCTTATCAGATGAACACATATGCTTATATATTTTAATGACATATATACAACAAAATCTCGTAGTTTATTCACTCTCGCACCACACACATTGATACCACGAATGAGGTTATTGTTTTTTACTTTTGCTGCTAAGACTTCATCACAGAGTATAAATAATATATGGTGCGATAGGATCACCTTGACGACATCCACATTCAATATTAATATGTTGAGAGATATTGCCCCCCTGATTAATAGATGCACTTACATTATTATGAAAAGTTTTTACCCATTTTCTTGCATCTTCCTCAAAGTTTAAATAGCCAAGTACTTTATCTATAATTTCCCATAAAACTGAATCTATTATTATTAACATTCCTGGGATGTTGTGATCCTGAATCAGATCATATACAGAAAGAATAATGTTTCCCAATGCTGTTTTAAAACGACGTGAAATTACACCAGATGCTATTCTATATGTAATATTTAAAAGTGTAATGGGTTTTTAAAAAAATGACGTGATTTATCTCCCTTGGGGATACAAGTTATTACACCATGTCTTTGAGTAACTGAAAGCTGACCAATTGAAAAACCATAATTTATGGAACGAACAACAAAAGTACCTACATCTTTCCAAAATACCTTAAAAAAATCTGCTGTGAAGCCGTCAGACCCTGGACTTTTTTCCCCATTTCTTTAAGAGTTTTCACTGCTTCATCAAGTGTTATTCTACCCTCTAAGCTGTGCGATTCATTGTTACTTAGCTTTGGAACATTGCAATTCTTGAGATGTATCAACCTCTTTAAATCTATATACATTTTCATAAAAAGATTTTACCTCCATTAATTTTGTAATAATATCATTGTTTTCTCTCTGAATTTTGGGAATAATTTTAAAAGTATAGTTTCAATTTTCAAGATTGAAAAAGCAAGATGTTGGTTTTTCTCCTTCTCCTACCCTTTTTGCCCTGGATCTAATGATACTTCTTCTAATTCTCTTCAAACGAATAGATTTTAATTCCCTTTTCTTCTCCCTTAATTGCTCCAGGTCTGGGTTTGTTTCAGCTTCTATTACTGATATGGATTTTTTAATCTCTTCCTCCCTGAGTTTTGTTTGTTTTTTCCTGTACGATGAGTATGAAATAGACCCACCTCTTATTTCCATTAATAAAGTCTCAAAAAAAGCAGATCATTTATTATAAACTGTATATCATTATCAGGGATATTCTTAATGGAATTAAAATTATATACAGGCAAACAATATTGCAACTTGATATTTTCAATGCAGTTTTTAACCATATATATTCAGGGTCAAATAATAAGGAATTGTTAGTTTCCATAGACCTTTACCTTTTTTAAATTCATTCAGTTTCAAAGCAATAATGGGGGCAGAATTATCTGATCTATAGCCAGGTGGTTCAATACTACAGTTATTTATACTTGATAAAAGGTTTTCTGAAACAAGAAAAAAATATAATCTAGCCTGTTTGATAGGGTTACTTCTACGCCAAGTGAATCTCCTGCTATTCCGATGATATTCCCTGTAGATGTCAATAAAATGATAATTTGAAATAATTTCTAAAACCTTATCTCTAGCCGATTTTAGCAATGGTAACGAGTCGACAACTTCCCCTGCATTCCTCGCCTCTTTCGTCAGGTTACAGACTTGTTTTCACTACAAGTTCGAACAATGGATGTAGTGGTAATACAAGTTAAACAAATACAAAACATAGCATTAGTGCAAAACAATGACAACTAATGTTAAGAAACTCAATCCCTACGTATGTAGAGTACTGGCCTATCCTACCTAACAGTACTACCAGTAGACTACGACCACGTGCTCCTAGCTCCCTATAGATCTACAGCGAACCACCATGTACCGATGCCTTAGCCCGAAGCCCCGGACTATCCATACGTAAATGTACTGTAGTTCCTATAGCACTCTATATATCCCAGGAACGAAAACATCATGTAGTCCTTGTTAGCAGCACCTTTGTTTTGCACTGTTAACAGCGCATGAGGCGGTATGATTCTCCTCCTCACCAGGTGAAGTGGGTCGGCTCACCGACCCTGTCGAGACACCGATCCCCGCCCGGACCTGCTGTATTATACCCCCTGCTCCCCACACCAAATAGCCTCGAAGATGAGTGACCAACTGTTTATCTCGAACCCAGCCTCACCATCTAAAAGCATGTGAGCAAGGAGCGGGAACCTATTCCTGTTATTACTATCACCCACTTCCGGCCGTCTCAAAAGTGTAAACACACAGATTTCAGCACGGTATCGTAGAAGCTGATCGCCAGGAATCCTATACTGAACGAAAATCCCTACCCTAAATAAGGGTGAATAACACAGAAAGTAACAGAGCCCTGTCTCTAAATCATAAACAACAATTATATTTAACAAAGTAATACAAATGTGAGAAGTAAACAACCTACCCTCCCACATCATGTTATGTCCAGGTTGCCACGATATATACTGGACACTGAACCTCCTAAGGCATTTATTGAAAAAGGAAAGATAAGGAGAAGGAAGGAAAGATATAAAAACATATTTTTAGGGTCAAGACACAGATAAAACCGACTACTACCAAGCACTATAAACTTGCTTGTCGCTGAAAAACCTGATCAGCCTGACCGCACTGCTTAGAATTACCGGAAGTACACGACCGGAAATTACACAATGAAAAACATAACCGGAATGGAGAAGTGGGTTTGGATATTCGGAATATACATATAAAAGTGAAGACTTAGCAAAGTACATATAGCAACTCATTTTAATCAAGACAACTTCTTCTTCTACTACTTATATATGATGCGTAAACACATGATTATCTTGCTTCAGTGTGTATAAGGGCCAAAGCCTCTCTCCAGAAAACCGTCAATACTTTGATTTTTTTAACGTTGCAAAGTATTTATCTTACCTGCATGTTAGAATATCCAATCATGCATTAATTCATTACCGAACAATAATAAACTTTCATACCACACACACGATAATAATAAGGAACTCTCTATTTCTTATAGACTGCACTCTTCTATACACTAGGATAGCACCAATATAGTTACAGGACGGTAACCAGACAGCGCTGGCGTAACTTACGTCCATACCGATCTTCCATTATGAGGTATCATATAAGAATTTTATTTCATGGTTCCAAAATTAAAGTAATTCAGTTCTCCTCGAGTTGGGTATCAAATAAAAGTTAACGTTTTTTTCCTTTCTTTAGTATCAAAAAAAGTTTCCCATCAACACTGTATGAGTTCTTAACACAATCCATGTGAAAGGCCTCCCTGAGCTGGTTAAAACTAGTCAGATCCTCAAATATAACGAAGTCGGATCCTTTCAAGTTCCTTCGAGCGTGAATTATTTCTTGCTTATTCCTGCGATGTGTAAATTTCACTATCACATTCCTTGGTCTGGGTCCATTAGACTTTCCAAGCCTGTGCGCTATATCAATGTCACTTGATTATATTGGAAACTTCAGCGTATCGCGTACAAAACTCACGACAGTCTCAACACAGTCTTCTACTGATTCTCTCTCCCCAGGATCCTTTAATCCGACAATTCTCAGGGACATTTTTCGCCCATGTTGCTCGACGTCGTTCTGTTTCCCCATGCTTTCCGAATATCTATCCTTAGCGCTCTCGATCCCTTCCTCTAGTTTCGAAACTGTGACTTTCAAGTCCTCATTTTCGATTTCCAGGTCTTTCATTCTCTCTTCCAGGTGTTTGATTCGCTCAGTACATTCACGTTGGATATCAGCCTTGAGTTTTTCTAACTTCCGACCCAGAAGCTCCTCGATAATCAAGGATTTCAAAATGACGTAGATTTCGTCCATTCGGTCGTCCGTTGATTTCAAACATGTCTGACTAGCTCCAATTCCACTGGTCCTGTTACTGACACTCTGTCCTCGTTGTGTTCTACTACCGGCTGGCATATTGGAAGTGTTGATAGATACAGAACTGTTATACTTGTAAATTACACAGTATATCCCTGGTCTCTCAGGTTCATGTCCTTACACATGTATAGCTTATAGGCCAGGTAAAGGCAAGTCCTTACACATGTATAGCTTATAGGCCAGGTAAAGGCAAGTCCTTACACATGTATAGCTTATAGGTCAGGTAAAGGCAAGTCCTGAGTAGTAGTCAGCCACGACGCTCAGTCCATGGTCTCAAATTGTTTCGCTCAAGAAAATTCTTTCCTGATGAAAGTTAAATAAATAAACACCCAACGCAGATAGATGCAACTGATATCTATCCCATGTCAGAAAATCATATTTCATAGTTTAATGTAAACTTATCAGTAATTTCTCAGAGCTCTGTAACACCCCACTGACTAGGTCCTCGTGACCTTCAACCTCCAAACAGAGTTTTGTCATACTTAAGATATTCACAAACTAACATCTCCATCGTGAGTTCAAGGTATCCTTCAATTGTTTTTTCCTGAGAAATTGATGCTAAACGTTAGATTACAAACGTAGGTCACTAACATCAGTCGAGAGATGCTGCTTTCAATGATTATATCTACATGCTTGGACAAAAGAGTCTTCTCAACATTATTGAATCTGGCTCTCGGGTTGACATACAATTGGCTCTGTAAAACAAATATTCAGATTGTTACATTTCACGTGTGTTCCATTATCTACTAGCTTGTACCTCCAAAGGACTCATCAAAATAGTTAATTTCACAATTGATAAATCAAATTAAACATAAAAATATCAAAACGTGCTTGAATATTTTTAGTAAAATATTCGATTTTGTGATCAGAACATTTTTTTGTATTTCAAATAAAAAACAGATTTCTATAAATACATCAAAACAACAGCTGACAGAAGAAAAATAATCTGTAATCCCAAAAATTATCTATATCTGAAACATGTGGTACAAAGACTTATCACTTTCCTAGAGAGAAGCCCATTCCCGCCTTGTTTTGATTAACCTGACAAGTATCAATCAATTTGAGCCCATCATTAATTGTATTCTAAACTGACCTTCAGCATCTACTTCTTTTACTGGAGTTTCCTCTGATGCTATAGCTGAAAATAACGCGAATCCGTCGTTTAAATTGCTTGTTCTTATATTTTCATGAAGTGCGTTTCAAAATATCAATGAATATACGGATCAGAGAATTTACATAATAATCATTGATCATCATGCTCAAAATGTATAATCAAATGTCACGGGAAAATCTATTTAAATGTTTGTATGCCAACATTAAACATTATAAAACAGATTAAAGATAAAGTATATCATAGTATGATAATAAAAATTATAGCAAATAGAGTAAAGTTTATGTCAGTAGTTAGCAAATGAGCTTAACTCTCGAATACACTTATCTCTGTTGTGTAATTGGTAGCTTCTACTATGTAACACTGAATAGTGATATATTTTACACCATATGTCATATATTTATAATATTTTTAACGAATGAACAAAGACTAATATTTGTAAAGAAAACCATTGGTTACATACCTTGAAGTCCTTTTTCAAGCAGGTTTGTTGTCGGTCTGTCAGCCGGACTATCAGCAGCTGCTGTATGTACATATAATACATCTTATCATAGACTTAAGACTAATGGCAATACGATTGTAATAAAACAAACCCATGATACAAAAAGGAGTCATTCAAAAGGTGTGACGATACTAATCACTTACGGATATAATTTTACTCTTAAAATATACCTTTGATTAAGTTGAAGACTAAATGTCACCTTATATTGATTATTGGCTGCATTTGATTCGTGCCAGTGATTGCCCTTAAAACATATTCTAAAGACTTTGGAAATACCACTGTAAGTGCACCTCAATCTAAGTAAGTAGCATCAGTAATTTTGAAGACTTATTTGCTTAGTTTAATTCATCTTATCTTTCAGGACTTCCTGAATATAACTTATAAACGTAATATTGTATCTTGTCATCAATCTTATGAAACGGAGATACGTATTACAGTAATGTAGAGTTGAATATCACCCTTATGCAGCAATAACTTATAATGACATCACTGTCTGTAATATTTGATACAATTATATGAACAGTTGTTTATTCAGTAAAGAATATTTGTAAATCAATATTTAATGCATCATTACAATTTTTTATGTTGAAGCCTTCAAGATTGATGTTTTTTTTTTTTATTAATGTCTATAGGAGACAAAGTACAAAGTCGATATTTCATGCGATATATATATAACCACGTATCGAGATCAAAACCATCATACCTTATTCAGCAATGTTTTATTTGTTAAGTACTTTTTATACTTTCTAACACTTATTGAAATTTCTATTTCCATAATCCTATTTATTTTTGTTGTTGACTTTGAGTAAGGTAAATGTTAACTTCAGACTTAGAAGTCGATTCCACGTGTTTGCTTTTGACGTTTAACTTTTGTTGCATATTAGACGACCAAATTACTTTTTTTCAAGTTGTACAAAATGTCGATTAACACTCTTTATAATTAGAAGATTAATATCATTGTGAACGTGGTATCATTGGCTTATCAACATGAAACATTGAGCCAAACTGAATCGATTGAGAAGTGGCGAAATAGTGGTACATACTTTCTTGGATCGGTGTCATAGGTTCTTGTGGCCTCCTCGCTGTAAACAGAAAATAATATAAATGAATACACAAGCAAATAACGTATTAATAACATTGTTTAGCTCACTTGTTTGTAAATATCGTTACAGGGTATCAAACATGAAGCTTCTTCACGGTGAGCCAAGCGGTGTAAACAAATATTCAGATTGTTACTTTTCTCGTTTGATCCATTTTTACTCGCTTGTGCTTCAAAACGACTCATCAAAATAGTTGATTTCACAATTGATCAATCAAATATAACATAAAAATATCAAAACTCGCTTGAATATTTTTAATAAAATATTCGATTTTGTAATCAGCACATTTTTTGTATTTTATATAAGAAATAGATTTCTATAAAAACATCAAAACAACGGCCTGACAGAGAGAAATTCAAAATATTATCTATATATCTGAAACATGTGGTACAGAGACTAATCACTTTCCTAGAGAGAAGCCCATTCCCGCCTTGTTTTGATTAACCAGACACGTATCAATCAATTTGAGCCCATCATTAGTCTTATTTGAAACTGACCTTCAGCATTTATTTCTCCTAGTGGAATGACCACTGATGCTTCAGCTGAAAATAAAGCGAATCCGTAGTTGAAATTGCTTGTTCTCAATTTTTCATATAGTGCATTTCAAAATATCAATGGATTTACAGGTGAAAGAATTTACGTAATAGTCATTGATAATCAGGCTCAAATGTACAATCAAATGTCACGGGTAAATATATATAAATGTTTTAATGCCAAAATAAAACATTATGAAACAGATTAAAGATTAAGTATATCATAGTAAAGAAAACAAGGTAGATTTTAAAATCATTTATCAAAATTAATAATAAAAATTATAGCAAATAAAGTAAAGTGTATATACGTAGTTAGCAAATAAGCTTAACTCTCGAATAAAATTATCTCTGTTGTGTAATTGGTAGTTTCTACTATATAACACTGATTGGCGTTATATTTTACATCATATGTCATATATTTATAATATTTTTTAACAAATGAACTAGAATAATATTTGTACAGAAAGAGATTGGTTTCATACCTTGAAGTCTTTTTTCAAGCAGGTTTGTTGTCGGTCTGTCAGCCGGACTATCAGCAGCTGCTGTATCTACATATAATACATCTTATCATAGACTTAAGACTAATGACAATACGATTGTAATAAAACAAACCCATGATACAAAAAGGAGTCATTCAGAGAGGTGTGACGATCCTAATCACTTACAGATATAATTTTACTCTTAAAATATACCTTTGATTAAGTTGAAGACTATATGTCACCTTATATTGATTATTGGCTGCAATTGATTCGTGCTAGTGATTGCCATTAACACATATTCTAAAGACTTAGGAAATACCACTGTAAGTGCACTTCAATCTAAGTAAGTAGCATCAGTAATTTTGAAGACTTATTTGCTTAGTTTAATTCATCTTATCTTTCAGGACTTCCTGAATATAACTTATAAACGTAATATTGTATCTTGTCATCAATCTTATGAAACGGAGATACGTATTACAGTAATGTAGTGTTGAATATCACCCTTATGCAGCAATAACTTATAATGACATCACTGTCTGTAATATTTGATACAATTATATGAACAGTTGTTTATTCAGTAAAGAATATTGGTTAAACAGTATTTAATCCATCATTACAGTTTGTTATGTTGAAGCCGTCAAGATTGATGCATTTTTTTTAAAATAATAATATTCGTGTCTATAGGAGACAAAGTACAAAGTCGATACTTCATGCGATATATATATAACCACGTATCGAGATCGAAATCTTCATACCTTATTCAGCATTGTTTTATTTGTTAAGTACTTTTTATACTTTCTAACACTTAATGCAATTTTTATTTCCATAATCCTATTTATTTTTGTTGTTGACTTTGAGTAAGGTAAATGTTAACTTCAGACTTAGAAGTCGATTCCACGTGTTTGCTTTTGACGTTTAACTTTTGTTGCATATTAGACGACCAAATTACTTTTTTTCAAGTTGTACAAAATGTCGATTAACACTCTTTATAATTAGAAGATTAATATCATTGTGAACGTGATATCATTGGCTCATCAACATGAAACATTGAGCCAAACTGAATCGATTGAGAAGTGGCGAAATAGTGGTACATACTTTCTTGGATCGGTGTCATGGGTTTTTGTGGCCTCCTCGCTGTAAACAGAAAATAATATAAATGAATACACAAGCAAATAACGTATTCATACAATTGTTTTGCTCACTTGTAAATATCGTTACAGGGTATTAAACAGTTAGCTTCTTCACGGTGAGCCAAGCGGTGTAAACAAATATTCAGATTGTTACTTTTCACGTGTGATCTATTTTTTACTCGCTTGTGCTTCAAAACGACTCATCAAAATAGTTGATTTCACAATTGATCAATCAAATATAACATAAAAATATCAAAACTTGCTTGAATATTTTTAATAAAATATTCGATTTTGTGATCAGCACATTTTTTGTATTTTATATCAAAAATAGATTTCTATAAATACATCAAAACAACGGCCTGACAGAGAGAAATCCAAAATATTAGTTATACATCTGAAACATGTGGTACAGAAACTAATCACTTTCCTAGAGAGAAGCCCATTCCCGCCTTGTTTTGATTAACCTGACAAGTATCAATCAATTTGAGCCCATCATTAATTGTAATCTAAACTGACCTTCATCATCTACTTCTTTTAGTGGAGTTTCCTCTGATGCTATAGCTGAAAATAACGCGAATCCGTCGTTTAAATTGCTTGTTCTTATTTTTTCATGAAGTGCGTTTCAAAATATCAATGAATATAAGGATTAGAGAATTTAATCAAATGTCACGGGAAAATCTATTTAAATGTTTGTATGCCAACATTAAACATTATAAAACAGATTAAAGATAAAGTATATCATAGTATGATAATATATAAAATATATAAACTTGCTTGAATATTTTTAATAAAATATTCGATTTTTTGATCAGCACATTTTTTGTATTTTATATCAAAAATAGATTTCTATAAATACATCAAAACAACGGCCTGACAGAGAGAAATCCAAAATATTAGTTATACATCTGAAACATGTGGTACAGAGACTAATCACTTTCCTAGAGAGAAGCCCATTTTGTTTTGATTAACCAGACAAATATCAATCAATTTGAGCCCATCATTAGTCTTATTTGAAACTGACCTTCAGCATTTACTTCTCCTAGTGGAATGACCACTGATGCTTCAGCTGAAAATAAAGCGAATCCGTAGTTGAAATTGCTTGTTCTCAATTTTTCATATAGTGCATTTCAAAATATCAATGGATTTACAGATGAAAGAATTTACGTAATAGTCATTGATTATCAGGCTCAAATGTACAATTAAATGTCACGGGTAAATATATATAAATGTTTTAATGCCAAAATAAAACATTATAAAACAGATTGAAGATTAAGTATATCATAGTAAAGAAAACAAGGTAGATTTTAAAATTATTTATCAAAATTAATAATAAAAATTATAGCAAATAAAGTAAAGTGTATATACGTAGTTACCAAATGAGCTTAACTCTCGAATAAAATTATCTCTGTTGTGTAATTGGTAGTTTCTACTATATAACACTGAATGGCGTTATATTTTACATCATATGTCATATATTTATAATATTTCTAACAAATGAACTAGACTAATATTTGTACAGAAAGAGATTGGTTTCATACCTCGAAGTCCATCTTCAAGCAGGTTTGTTGTTGGTCTGTCAGCCGGACTATCAGCACCTGCTGTATGTACATATAATACATCTTATAATAGACTTAAGACTAATGACAATACGATTGTAATAAAACAAACCCATGATACAAAAAGGAGTCATTCAGAGAGGTGCGACGATCCTAATCACTTACAGATATAATTTTACTCCTAAAATATACTTTTTATTAAGTAGCAGACTTAAGGCTATATGTCACCTGATATTGATTATTGGCTGCAATTGATTCGTGCCAGTGATTGCCCTTAACACATATTCTAAAGACTTAGGAAATACCACTGTAAGTGCACTTCAATCTAAGTAAGTAGCATATGTAATTTTGAAGACTTATTTGCTTAGTTTAATTCATCTAACCTTTCAGGACTTCCTGAATATAACTTCTATACGTAAAATTGTATCTTGTCATCAATCTTATGCAACGGAGATACGTATTACAGTAATGTAGTGTTGAATATCACCCTTATGCAGCAATAATTGTATTAGGACATCATTGTCTAATATTTGATACAATTACATGAACAGTTGTTTATTTAGTACAGAATATTTGTTAAACAGTATTTAATGCATCATTACAGTTTTTATGTTGAAGCCTTCATACCTTCCTCACCCAACCTTTGATAAGATTGGTGTATTTAAAAAACAAAAACAAAAATTCTATTGGGGACAAAGTACGAAGTTGATATCTCATGCGATATATAGGATCTTAAATGAGTTTTCATTTCATATGAGATTTTATGAAACGAGTCTTAGGAGTTTTAATTTTTGCGAGCCTTGGCGGAGATAGAAATTCACAATTTGTGACGTCACGTCAATGTCCATATTGTGACGTCACAATCGATTTCTGACTGGCACAGCCGATCAAAAACGCTCCAGGGTATATAACACTAATGACAAATGTAAAAATATTACACGGGCGAATTCACTGTATAACATTGAGCCAAACTGAATCGATTGAGAAGTGGCGAAATAGTGTTACATACTTTCTTGGATCGGTGTCCTCCTCGCTGCAAACAGAAATAATATAAATGAAAATACAAGCAAATAACGTATTCATAACATTGTTTTGCTCACTTATTTGTAAATATCGTTACAGGGTATCAAAAATTAAGCTTCTTCACGGTCTTACGGTCCAAAAACGCGTATGGCCACGTGAGCCAAGCGGTGTAAAACAAATAATTTATAAAAAAATATATTTTAAACAATCGTAGGTTCAAACCTTTACGCCTGCGAAATATAAAGAAATCTACGGTGCAAAGTTGTAACGCTTGACGTAAGTACAAATAGTATACACTGCAAATTGATAAGCCTGAAGAATGTAGAAATATACCTACATTTCCGCCATTTAATAATGAAAACAGCTGCAACAAGGATACACACACCAGCAAGAGTGATTACTCCGACAACGCTGCATAAAAATAACAGTAAAGTATATAGAGAGCATTGTTATATAAAAATAATAATAAATAATGACGGAAACTATGTACATGTCATTAATTAGCGTGATGTTGGTGCGTATTCCTATAGAAACGAGTGAAAATACATACTGGTATGACACTCAAAATAGGCATTTTATTTTGTTGATTAGGTTCTACCGATCGTAACCGTCTTTTAGATACTTTGTGTTACATTCAATGTGTAAACTAGCCTAGTTAATATTCAGCGTTTTTTTTGACATGCTATCATTTTATACAAATGCAATCACCAAAATGTTTGCATTTTTCTTGTTATTCTTATCTTTCTTTTGCTGATTTTGCATATTAGAAACATAATAAAATATTAGAGTCGTCGACCAGTACATTCGTCTTTTCCTCACAGAAACATGTTTGGCTTATATAAAAAGCATACTCTCCTCTCAAATTTCAAAATTAGTAATATTCTTCTTTTTCTAAAAAGATATAGATTGTCATTAAAACTACACCCTCTCCAAATTTAATTTGTGACAAAACGTACAGAAACGTACAAAAACCCAATTAGATACAATGGACTATTTAATTATAGAATTGTTTATATATCCTCTGATATTATAATGTTTCTGTTTGAAACCAATAAAGAGAGGGCGAGGAGGAGGTTGGCTCAGTATGTTCCTTAAATATATATCATTCTGAACATACTTTATATTCATAGATCATAGACCAAAACATGGTAAAATTATATCGATGAAGTAAATGAAACATTGTTTGCCTAATAGGATATCATATATCGACAATATAAACTGACGTTATTTATGTCATCTCATCAAAATTAATCACGTGATCTTATGTATGAAATATGGTCTGCAAGTACTATGAATGAAATACAGGATAAAGCTTCCTTTGAGAATGTAAACATAAACCAAGGAAATGAAAGTAAGAGGTTAAAAATATTTAAATATAATGACAAGGAAAAGATTCATAAGTTGTTCTTTGTTTTCATGTTTTCATGTTCACTTGCATATTCCTTTTTTCAAAATCAACATACATTTGATAATCATATATTGGCATTCACGAAAGTTAAATGCGAGCTGAACGATAACTATCTCTAAGATGACTTCAACTCTGACAAAGTATTGCATTATTCTTTATTGCAAATCAAACTGCTGCAAACTAGCTTCATTAACTCATCCACCCCTGAAAACACATTTTAACTCTTCCAATTCAATGGTTGGAATAGTTCATTATGAATTTTCAGCGGTGAATGAGTTATAGTCGATTGTCAGTGGATTCTGGTGCATAAATGGTTTGGTGTCTCTTGATTAAAAAAATAGTGTTCAACCACTTCTTGTACTTCATACTGTCCTGCCACCCCAATCGCATTTACATTGTTAAAGCACTAAAACGATTAAAAATAAATTGAATAATATCTTATTAAAAAATATATAATAATTTAAGATCCATTATCACATGACAATTGTAGGAGGCTAAATAACTAAATAACGCATTTAACTTCATATATAACAAGAAAATGCAGCAAAACTGCTGGACAGTCCAAAAATCACTTACTGACAAAAATCACCAGAGAGCGGATCCTGCACACTGGGATTTATTCTTCGAATATTAATGGCATTACTTTGATCGTTCAGAATATTCTGTTCACGAAGACACTCTTGGCCATATTCTAGCTTTGTGGTTGTTATTACATATTTGTTTTGAATTGGTGAACTACATGTAAATCAGAAAAGTGCGGGAATTTGAAGCGTACTATTTGACGCTTGGTTTTAATAACGTCAAGCTTGACAATAATGCAGAGAGCCATTTTGAATGGGAATCTCAATGCAATTTTGCCCTTTGTTGCTTTTATCTGGTAAGATTTCCAAACAAAAATGATATCAGTGGTGTAGTTACGTAAATATCATAATGAATGTTGTAAATGTGGAGCAAAACAGCCACCTATTTTGCCGTCGTTTCATCTGAACTTGAAAATCATTGCAATAAAAGGAAAGTACCATTCTGATTGGACAATAATAAGAATAAGAGTGACATCTAGATATGCACTTGTCAAACGGAATATTCACTGTTGTAATGTTATAAATACGGATATGAAAGAGTTTACCATAATGTTTTTGCCTCAATTTCCCAGAAGGCTTTCACGCATGGGGAAGCACCGGAAGTGGACAAAATGTTTACAGATCAAACCTATGCAACGCTTTGCATCACTTAGGGGTTTGAAAAAAATAACTAGCGGCACAAAGTAAGAAAGCATATTTCTCTCAACTCTGTGTGTAAAAGATAGAGCTATCGAGGGTAAGAAAGGGATGTATGAAATGTCTTACACCCCATTTCACGTGATGTGACGTCACAATAGCTAAACAATGATGTAACGTCACGAATTCTAAAAAGTCCCTTGCCGCAATGCGGAAATGGCGACGTGATGAAATTAAAACCTTTTACGATATATTTACCGTACACGTTAGAAAGATGAGATTAATTTTCTGGGCATTTTTTGTTTGCAGATATGGGGTTTGCTTAATAACGCTGACAGATTCGTTTTCGTCAAAATCGCTCTGGGAGATTTATAATTTTAGCCCACCATCATCTGATGGTGGGCTATTCAAATCACCCTGCGTCCGTGGTCCGTCTTCTGTCCGTCGTCCGTCCGTAAACAATTCTTGTTCTCGCTATTTCTCAAGAAGTACTAAAGGGATCTTTCTCAAATTTCATATGCAGGTTCCCCTTGGTCCTTAGCTGTGCAGGGCAACTTTTGAGAGTGATCGAATAAACAACATGGCCGACAGGCAGCCATCTTGGATTTTGATAGTGAAAGTTTGTTATCGCTATTTCTCAAGAAGTACTAAAGGGATCTTTCTCAAATTGTATATGTAGGTTCCACTTTGTCCTAAGCTGTGCAGGGCAACTTTTGAGACTGATCGGATAAACAACATGGCCGACAGGCAGCCATCTTGGATTTTGATAGTGAAAGTTTGTTATCGCTATTTCTCAAGAAGTACTAGAGGGATCTTTCTCAAATTTTATATGTAGGTTCCCCTTGGTCCTTAGCTGTATAGGGCAACTTTAAAGACTGATCGAATGAACAACATGGCCAACAGGCAGCCATCTTGGATTTTGATAGTGAAAGATTGTTATTGCTATTTCTCAAGAAGTTCCAAAGGGATCTTTCTCAAATTTTATATGTAGGTTCCCCTTGTTCCTTAGCTGTGCAGGGCAACTTCTGAGACTGATCGGATAAACAACATGGCCGACAGGCAGCCATCTTGTATTTTGATAGTGAAAGATTGTTATTGCTATTTCTCAAGAAGTTCCAAAGGGATCTTTCTCAAATTTTATATGTAGGTTCCCCTTGGTGAAAGATTGTTATTGCTATTTCTCAAGAAGTTCCAAAGGGATCTTTCTCAAATTTTATATGTAGGTTCCCCTTGGTGAAAGATTGTTATTGCTATTTCTCAAGAAGTTCCAAAGGGATCTTTCTCAAATTTTATATGTAGGTTCCCCTTGGCTCTTAGCTATCGCTATTTCTCAAGAAGTACTAGAGGGATCTTTCTCAAATTGTATGTGTAGGTTCCCCTTGGTCCTTAGCTGTGCAGGGCAACTTTTGAGACTGATAGGGCAACTTTTGAGAGCGATCGAATAAACAACATGGCCGACAGGCAGCCATCTTGGATTTTAATAGTGAAAGATTGTTATCGCTATTTCTCAAGAAGGACTAGAGGGATCTTTCTCAAATTTTATGTGTAGGTTCCCCTTGGTCCTTAGCTGTGCAGGGCAACTTCTGAGACTGATCGGATAACCAACATGGCCGACAGGCAGCCATCTTGGATTTTGATATTGAAAGTTTGTTATCGCTATTTCTCAAGAAGTTCCAGAGGGATCTTTTTCAAATTTTATATGTAGGTTCCCCTTGGCTCTTACCTGTGCAGGGCAACTTTTGAGACTGATCGGATAAACAACACGGCCGACAGGCAGCCATCTTGGATTTTAATAGTGCAAGATTGTTATCGCTATTTCTCAAGAAGTACTAGAGGGATCTTTCTCAAATTTTATGTGTAGGTTCCCCTTGGCTCTTACCTGTGCAGGGCAACTTTTGAGACTGATCGGATAAATAACATGGCCGACAGGCAGCCATCTTGGGTTTTGATAGTGAAAGTTTGTTATCGCTATTTCTCAAGAAGTTCCAGAGGGATCTTTTTCAAATTTTATATGTAGGTTCCCCTTGGCTCTTACCTGTGCAGGGCAACTTTTGAGACTGATCGGATAAAAAACATGGCCAACAGGCAGCCATCTTGGATTTTGATAGTGAAAGTTTGTTATCGCTATTTCTCAAGAAGTACTAGAGGGATCTTTCTCAAATTGTATGTGTAGGTTCCCCTTGGTCCTTAGCTGTGCAGGGAAACTTTTGAGACTGATCGGATAAACAACATGGCCGACAGGCAGCCATCTTGGATTTTGATATTGAAAGTTTGTTATCGCTATTTCTCAAGAAGTTCCAGAGGGGTCTTTCTCAAATTTTATGTGTAGGTTCCCCTTGGTCCTTAGCTGTGCAGGGAAACTTTTGAGACTGATCGGATAAACAACATGGCCAACAGGCAACCATCTTGGATTTTGATAGTAAAAGTTTGTTATCGCTATTTCTCTCAAGAAGTACTAGAGGGATCTTTCTCAAATTTTATATGTAGGTTCCCCTTGTTCCTTAGCTGTGCAGGGCAACTTCTGAGACTGATCGGATAACCAACATGGCCGACAGGCAGCCATCTTGGATTTTAATAGTGCAAGATTGTTATCGCTATTTCTCAAGAAGTACTAGAGGGATCTTTCTCAAATTGTATGTGTAGGTTCCCCTTGGTCCTTAGCTGTGCAGGGAAACTTTTGAGACTGATCGGATAAACAACATGGCCGACAGTCAGCCATCTTGGATTTTAATAGTGAAAGATTGTTATCGCTATTTCTCAAGAAGTTCCAGAGGGGTCTTTCTCAAATTTTATGTGTAGGTTCCCCTTGGCTCTTACCTGTGCAGGGCAACTTTTGAGACTGATCGGATAAACAACACGGCCGACAGGCAGCCATCTTGGATTTTAATAGTGCAAGATTGTTATCGCTATTTCTCAAGAAGTACTAGAGGGATCTTTCTCAAATTTTATATGTAGGTTCCCCTTGTTCCTTAGCTGTGCAGGGCAACTTCTGAGACTGATCGGATAACCAACATGGCCGACAGGCAGCCATCTTGGATTTTAATAGTGAAAGATTGTTATCGCTATTTCTCAAGAAGGACTAGAGGGATCTTTCTCAAATTTTATGTGTAGGTTCCCCTTGGCTCTTACCTGTGCAGGGCAACTTTTGAGACTGATCGGATAAAAAACATGGCCGACAGGCAGCCATCTTGGATTTTGATAGTGAAAGATTGTTATTATCGCTATTTCTCAAGAAGTTCCAGAGGGATCTTTTTCAAATTTTATATGTAGGTTCCCCTTGGCTCTTAGCTGTGCAGGGCAAGTTTTGAGACTGATCGGATAAATAACATGGCCAACAGGCAACCATCTTGGATTTTGATAGTAAAAGTTTGTTATCGCTATTTCTCAAGAAGTACCAGAGGGATCTTTCTCAAATTTTATATGTAGGTTCCCCTTGGTCCTTAGCTGTGCAGGGCAACTTTTGAGACTGATCGGATAAACAACATGGCCGACAGGCAGCCATCTTTGATTTTGATATTGAAAGTTTGTTATCGCTATTTCTCAAGAAGTACTAGAGGGATCTTTCTCAAATTTTATATGTAGGTTCTCCTTGATCCCTCGCTGTGTATGCGATATTTTGAGACTGATCATAAAAACAAAATGGATTAAAAGAAGAACTAAACAAATCTTTCTCAAATTGCAATGATCGATTCTATTTCTTTTACATTAAGTACTGTACTAGTAAATATGTGAAATGACAAACACACTTTGAAGGTTGGCTTTCATACACATCAGTATTAAGTTTAGATCAAAAGTTACCTCAAGGTGCATTTACTGTTAACATGACTCGATCAAACATATTAGAGGAAAGAAGAGAAAAGATCGAACTGACAAAGAACTAATTAAGGTGGTACAAAGGTGGGCGCCAAGATCCCTCTGGGATCTCTTGTTAAAAATGGTAAACAGTCCAAACCAATTTTCATGGTTTCTGTGCTTATTTTAGATGTTGGAATGAGAGAAAAATATTCCTTCATGCCCAAGGTTGTGGGATAGGAAATTTCCATCCTCAGGTTTTTCAAATTTGGAAACCCCTGGAATACACCTCCTACACCCCTCGGTCTTATAATATTCTCCCGAAGAGCTTTGGTACATTGAAAGGCCGTGATCATTAATGTTCTTTTTTTTTATCATCTTCCTGTCTCACAAACTTCAATCCATATTTGCATTATAAATACTTACATTAGTAGGCTGCTGTTTTCTTCGTCATTTTGCATTTCAGGTTTCCGATCTGAATTACAAAAAATATATGGAAATCACGTATATTTCACGAGTACCATATTCCACCAGATATACGCACATGCTCCTATAAGCGAATGAACACATATTTCTTGGAAAGAGGATTTTTGCGCCTAATCAAATCCCTTTAAAACGTTGCTAAACTTCATTAATCTGCCAATAGTGCTCTTATTAGATCGAATATTGTAATATATACTTGTAATAAGACTTGACTCAAACTAAACTAAATATCACAACAACTAGTTAGTAATAGTAAAATAAACCAGTATCTTTCAATATACACATCCTATGTCAAATCACATTTACTTGTCATTCTTTTAAAATACATTAGCCTTATTGAACATAAACCCGAATTACGCCAGTTCCTCTCATAGATAAAATCACGAGCACTTTCCATTGGAGCTCTCAAGAGGCTCAAACACGTATATCGTACATGCCAACAACATTTTGAACTGAGTAATTTCTGATACTTACTGGCATCTGTCTGTACCTGAAACTGCCTTGATTCACTAAGTCCCGAAACATCGTCAGTTTTCACATCAATCTGGTAGGATGTGTTTGCAGTCAAACCTGTCACTTTCAATAAAGTTACTGTCTTGCCTTTCTCTAAAATATAATCAACCAACATTGTTCAGCATTTTACTACATACAAGTTGTCTGCATGTGGAACTTTGATGTTTCGAAAACATGCTTTTACCGTTTGTTTACCAAAAGAAAATCATGATATGAATGTATGATAGGAAAATTTATGTTCGTCATGACGAACGAAAGGAAGAGAAAAGCATGAACAGAACAAAGATATCTTACCTATATCTTTCTCCATATGTCCTTCCGTATTGTCGGTGAGGTTCCTGAAGGTCAAAGCAATTTTACCTGAGTCTAGTTCCTTGTCTGGAGTTACCTCAAGTGTACACGAGACTTGGTCCTTTTCTATCACCTTTACAAAAGGAGCAGCTCGTAAACGGACTACTTTAAGAAAGAAAGAAAAAATACATTTATAATTAAAAGAAAAACAAACATTTTAAACTATATAATATCAGATTTATATTATCCATAAAAAATGTTAAATGTGGAAAAGATGGGCAAAGAAATTATGAAATAAGTTAGAACTAAAACATTACGAAGGTTAATTTCGTGAAGTTTACCTATTTTTTTACAGTAAATGAAGTTAAATTAAGTTTAAGAATTATGCATAATATCATAAAATTAATTACAGAGTAACACCACGACTTAGAATATAGAAATAAACCTTGAAGTAGAAGAAGAGGTTCGCATCATGAGTTCAACATGCAAAATAACGGTCATGAGGAGTTCAAAGGTAGTTATTACGATTTCAACATGCAAATTGTTGTCATAAAGAAGATCCTAAATGAGGCATCATGCAAATTGTTGTCATAAAGAAGATCCTAAAAGAGGCATCATGCAAAATTGTTGTCTTAGCACACTTTGCTTTGTCAAAACTCTTTGAAACATACAATAAAAAGTTAGAAAACATATCGCATACGTACTTGGTAATTCTGTCTGCAGAACAAATATGACGGGGTCACTCGTACCACCTTGATCGGAAGTCAAGACCTCAACCCGATAGGATGTGTTAGAAGCTAGACCAGTAATGATGGCGCTGACTTTTAACTCTGTTTCACCTGGTAAAGTTAAAAAGATATATCTTCAGAAGGAACGTACCGACTATCGTCTTTTGCAAGCTATTGTATTTAATGATTTATCTTATATATCTAATCTTGTAATTTACGTATGCCCAACGGTTAATAACTACCACGTTTTATATTTATTCATATGCAAAAATTGTATTCGATTAACATTACAAAATTAAAACGTTTTTAGAACGAAACACGTTGACAATAAGTCTTAGTCGCCTCGTAATCAAACTACAACGCCCTTGTTGTTGTAATATATCTGGTACCTGTGTTTCCATGTTAATGCTTTAAAACAAAATAGAAGTAATTCTGCCAAAGTCATAAAATATGAGAGGAAAAACCATAAACAGACTTGACAAGTATTCTCATTACAAACTGCCTACATTGTTGCCGAAATGTGTTTAAAAACAAAACGTTAGATTCTTTCCTCTTTGATGTGTGTGAAATATGACCATACTTAAGTAATGATAGAATAAAAACGAAGGACAGACGCACCTATCTTGGTTTCGATAACACGTTGTTGCTGTAAGTCTTCTTTGAGGTCTTTAAAGATGAAAGTGACGGTCTGAACACCAGTCTCATTTGCATTACGGAATACTTCCAGACTGGCAGAGGTAGATTTGACATCTGATATAACCACTAAAGGTGGGTGTCGTATATTCACTGAAAAATCCAATTTGTTAAAGTAAATAGTGGATTTATATGGACGAAGTTCATTTTAATGAAAACAGAGAAAACCACTACAATACTAGGTTTTCAGGCTACCATTCCAGTTCAAGTTAAAGTACGTATAGATGTTTGTATATCTCACCTGGAACGTTCTTGCCGCATTTTCTGTCGTCATAACGACTCCCGTTGTGTAGTATTGTTTCATCAGCTTTACACCTTGAAACAAAAACAAAATGGTATGATCAATCTTCCTCCCAGAACTTTATCCACCTAATTTTGAATTTGTATGACTATAATTTTAAGTTTTAAATAACAAATGATAAACCAAATTATGGCATCTTTACATTGTAAATGAAACTGAATGTGCCACTTCAGGCTGTGTCCTATTATTCTTTGTAACAATAGACGTAATAATTGATGAAGTTTACCTTGATTTTTCAATGCACTGTCCGTCTCTCTTGAAGAAGTCATCTATACATTGACAAGTTGCTGCAACCCAAAAGATAGAGTATTATCAAATGCCTTGGTGTAAAGCCATTTCTGTAAGATATTGCTTCAGTAAAAGTTCCAGAAACCTTCCTAAGAGAATAATATGAAATGTACAAGCATTAAATAATAAAACAAAATGTTATCAACAAATAACCAATCACATTTCAGCAGTGGTTTTATGGTAGTTGTTATAAGTTAGTAGTTCGTAAATAAATGTATTGTTAAGAAAACGCGTAAATTTGAGTTGATATATACCGTCGTCATCCGGTAGCATGTGATTTAGGCATTCCACAAACGAGCATGCATACTCAGTAGGCCCTATATATCCTTTGGATCTATCACATTCACAAACGATGCGTCCATCTGGCTGTTTTACAGGGACGGTTTCATCTAGAAAAGTAAACATACAACATAATGTACGGGGGGACAAAAGAAAGTACAAAAACATAGCATAACTACAGCAATATAGGCGTCTGTTTGATATTAATATCTTATTCAACCACAAAAAACAACTGCAAATCAAGGATAGCGATATCAAAATGGTGAAAAAAATTGTGTATGGTTGGTCGTCCTAAAACAGCAAAGGTCATCTGAGATCAGTGTCCACTGTTGAGGCAATTCTGTAACTACCTTGAAGTGCAATATCCCTGACATATCACAACCATAACACTATACCCGACCACCGGGACACAAACACCAGTATCATCGATTCCATTAAAATAGGAATTATTTACCTACACGAGTAAAAGTCGTATTCTAATAAAATGTTAGAGGTGTAATTTACTTACCTACGAAATCGCATGTCTGAGGCAAAACCTAGAAACCAGAAAAAAGCAAAGTTACGAATATAATTTGTTTTAAGTTCCAATCAAAATGGCATTCCTCTCAATAGTGTTGAATTTACATTCATACTTATTCTTCTTTCATTCATCTCAACAAAATGATATTATAACTAATTTTGATGTAAATTTCAGGCTTAAAAGAGAATATATTAACATACTTTTACTTTTACGTGATATTATTATTAATACGCTTAATCCTGCTTGTGTCTTTAAGCTACTTGTGACATACTCACACTTTGAAAGTTGTTTGCTAAGTAAATTCCCATTATCACTATTTGAAGATTCATTATTGATGTCTGCATGTTGATTTTCTTCTACGAACACTACAAAGCAAATAAATGAATTAAGAAAACCCAATATCAAACTAGAGATGTCCTACTGAAATCTGACTAAATAACTTGATATTGGATGCAATTCACCCGTCTGCCTGACATGCTCGTAATCACAGATTCAGTTGGTAACACTACGTCAGACGTGTTGCTACAGTACTATAAGTATTGGTGACCTTTTTTCGTGTTTAAATGTCTCACTCCATAAAGGGGATACGATACATTCACATCGAGATATAATACGGGTGTGATTTGTCTTTGAATTCATCAATTCCACTTCCATTCAATAATGCTAACCACATACTTCTCTTCCTCAGGTCCTTTACTTTATATAGCACTGAAAGAAGGGAATACCCTTTACTTTATATAGCACTGCAAGAAGGGAATACCCTTTACTTTATATAGCACTGAAAGAAGGGAATACCCTTTACTTTATATAGCACTGATACATGTATATACATTTGCTTATCAGACTCACTATTTTGTATCATCACATAGAAATAACGGTTATAATAATTTTACTACAAAAAACATACACATTGTCATGATATTATTTGCAGGGCTGCTAACTATATGTGTCATAATTGCGTCAGTGACCGGATACCGATTTGGTCGGCATGACTATGACTTTAAAAAAAAAATGAAAAGAAAACCATATCTTGCGGGACTTTATTAATAAATAAAACATGTAAATTAGTCAAATATAATCAACGACAGTGTTCTGATTGTTATAGTTTACAGGGACTAGACCGGGATTCAAAGCATGAACTTAGATTTCTTTACAAACGCTCTAACAGACTGAGCAAGCCGGTCAACTAAAATATCCTGGTTAAACTGTGTAACAGATACATCCAAAACGAAATTAAGGGGAGGTAACACTGTATATATAATAAGGACAGATCTATAGACTAGGGATATTTAATAAGTGACAGAAAACTGGGAACAGGAGAATTCAGAGATACTAGGAAATTGACACGTAAGATGTTACACAGATTAAATTCGGTAGGCGTGCCATTGTGTCATAATGATGGTGTTAGTGAAATATTGTTTATTAGTTAGCAATTAACAAGATATATTGCTTTTTATAACAATGGCTGAATAATTCGGTGTCCATGGTAACTTCCTACGATTCCTTTAAACGTTAAAAATATTAACATCAGGTGTTTTATCGAATGTGCACACCCCACAGAAGTTGGCTACAAAACCAGCTATGTATGCATACAGTCACATACCAAAGGGAGCTTCACAGAGCCCATGTCGCACTAATAGGTGTACTATATCTTCACAGGCAGGGCCATCTGACTAACGTTGGGTGACTAAATACCGTGTGGATTGGGTTTTACCTGCTAGATTATTAGGTGTTATTTCAGGACGATTCCATGTATAAGTATGTGCACATCAATGTGTGAACTTACCTTGAGACTAACTGGAAGATGTAAACTGATATAAAAATGCACATGTATATCACTATTTTTACTGATAATACATGATAAATTCCTGTACACAAATACTCTTTATTATGATCATCTAAAAACTAAAACTGTAGTGTATTTTAAATTACGTAATATCATTGTATACAATATAAGTAGAGTTAGCCTCTAAAATTAGACCATTGGAAAGATTCGTTTAAGATATACCCATATATGTTTAGATACACGTCATGTGTCAAAGAAATAATGCTACCTGAGGAGCTATATCCTATAATGTTTTTATGTAATGTAATATTACTAGTATTGTGGCTTTTTTGTGTTTCGATAAAGGAGCAGATTGCTTCGAATGTTTGACAACATCATATTGTCTACATTGTCAGAATCACTGCCTTGACCCATATAGATATACGTCATATATATACAGCTTAATGTAACCATAGCAATATAAACGCTTTGCTATACTATCGTTATACAATGTATCATTATGATATCTATAAACTTCATAAGTTAGTATGTCACGGAGTACGTTTGCTAAACAAACACATACCTGGTAGATATAATGATATTAGTATATGATTGTCGAAGACCCCATTTCCTTTATCTAAGTCTTCAAAACAACACGTGTGTACATGTTTGTACATCTTCCCTTATCCTAATTCTATTTAACGTAAAGGGAATTTCCGTGTTACTTTTTTGATAACTACTATGAATAGACATAGCTCCGCTCCTAAAGATATTGAACTTTAGACATACCAGGTCCGTAATGGGTTAGAAGTAGGTTTGGATATGAAACAATTCGTCACATCTCGACAGATTCCGTTCCTACGATAAAGGGTACCGGAATCAGCCGAGGTTAGCCGAATGGATCTGAAAAAGCTGTGACATGTTTTTAAATACAGAAAGGGTTGACAGGTGATGCTAAGGGTGCGTGTTTACACGTATTCACACTGAAATAATCAATATAAATTCCTTGGCTTATTAGGGAGTCATTATCTCAGGCTAAGCAATTTGTAACATTATTTACACCAGTAAACAATGCATAACATTTTGCTTGCACCAATAAAACACCGTGACACACCTTCCAAAATCTGGACCAGATAACACCTTCTTCTATGTGTGATTCATAAGTCTTTCCAACGTCTCCTGCACCCAGTTTATCTCACTATTAATATATTAATAAATGTATTTATATCATCACTGACACAAATAAGACTTTGTATGATAAAAGCAACATTGGTGTTTTAAACTTGATTAGTGGAATGTCGAAAATGTCCTCTTAATTGCAAACGGTATTTTCCCCAAAAACATTTCAAATACTATATCTAAAATCTATAGGGTTATCTTAGAAATACATTATACCTGTGACTTATCAATACAAAGAGGCGGTCCGGAAAACTTCAAAACAAGAATATTATTTTCCGTATTCGGTCCGAATCAGTTCGATTTGTTTATTTGTCAATCCCATGGCCTACAAAATGACGTTCGCTCAATTTAGAAATTTCAAACGATTGAAAACCGAGGACTCTAATGACGGAATTAAGCAGCTGTTTGTGATAATAAGAACGGATTTGGATCAATAAATAATCAATGTATCAATATACGCGAGGTAATTTTAGTTGTATAGTAGATTTTTGTTGTAAGCACCTCATAATTCTCCGATACGAAACGGTGTCGGATAATTCCATGTTTTCATACAGTAGTGCGCTCTTGCCCGACACAAGGCGTCAATCTGTCTATAACTGGGTGAATGAATCAGAACCGGATACGTGAGGTATAGCTGGATTGAGGATGCATAACCGGATAAATGATATATAACTGGATTAAAAATACAGAACCTGATAAATGATATGAACAGGATTAATGATCCAGAACCAAATACATGATATATAATTGGATTAATGATACAAAACCTGATAAATGATATGTAACTGGATTAATTATACAGAACCTGATAAATGACATATAACTGGATTAATTATACAGAACCTTGTACATGATATATTAACTAGATTAATGATACAGAACCTGATAAATGATATATAACTGGCTTTATGATACAAAACCTGGTAAATGATGTAGCAGGATTAATGATACAAAACCTGATATGTGATATAGAATGGGATCAATAATTTAGAACATGATAAGAAATATATAATTGGATTAATGATACAGAACCTGATAAATGATATATAACATGATTTATGATTCACAAACGGATAAGTGACATTGAATTTTGAGTAATTCTATTGACGTAAGCACTTTCTATTGACGTAAGTACTTTCTATTGACGTAAGCACTTCAACAAAACTTGACAATGTTGCTTGTTCAATGCATACATTCTATCAAGTTTATTTTATATCCTTGCGAAATAGCGGAAATGGAAAGCTCATTATGTTTGTAAAGAAGCAGGCATCTCAAGTGGCGAACGGGACATTACAATCCACCACATCACAAACATATATTTGCGCGTAACTGTGAACCTTACCAACTTCAGGTTAAGAGTACCATCAAGTGAAAATCAAATAATATCATTTATCAGTATTTTCATCATCGTCAGTATTATGTAATTTGTCAGTCTTTTTCTAAAGAAATGATCCTCAAAAATTACAAGTGTCGATAAGTTTACAGAATTAGTCTTGTTTCAAAAATGATTATTTGAGAAAAAAATACAAAACCATAGCATTAACCAGACACTGCAATGGTCTAAGTTAGGACCGTTACACTGCTAGTCCTACAATCTGTCAAAGCTGCTAATTAGAAATTAACAATGCCCCTCTATTAGCTGTATTATCTATATACTTTTATCAATCTGAACGCAAAACAAACACAATTGATAGCATCTTTCAAATTTGGTAATGGAGACAGTTTGCTAAAAATAAATTACACAGCTTGCCATCCTTCTATGGCTCATCGGTGATGCCAGGGGCCAAAAAGGTCGAAATCCAAATTGCTCTAAACTACTTTTAACAGAAGGAGAGGCGCGTAAAACCGTGTAATTATTTAAATTTCAGAAATAGCAGGAGAATTAGTGAATTTCAAATTTATAAGAAAATAACTTAAGTAAGTAAGTCGTTGTTATAAGCCGTGCGACTACCAAAAACAGATACTTTTGGCACACCTCTTGGACTAAGAACAGTCTACCAACATAGTAATCAAATACTCTCTTGATGACTTAAGTAAACACCATAAATATAACGATAAAGCTTTAGCTAAGCCAACTACGTCAAGTTATCCGTCAAAGTTTCTGACACTGTTTTTCAGTTTCCATAACTTTACATCATAAGGAAAGTCTGGGTAAAGTCATAGGTAGACGACCATATTTTTTACCAAATCAACCTCCTCCAGAAGAAGCAATCGCAATTTCAGGGTTTAATCACATTGCGTAAGACCTCTTACCGTTAATATTCAGTATTTTCAAGCAGTTTTGACAAGTACTTCGTGTTGTTATGGAATGGTTTTCATATATTATCTTCCCTTGCCATGTTACGATAATATATACCCACAACAATACTCTCACAGGTACCAGATAAATGGCATGAAGGGTGTAAGGGTTTCGACAAATAGCATGTACTTATGATGGTCTGAAACTACATTGCATTTTTCTGATATACTGTACACATGGACATTTTTACCGCAGTTTAACTTTGCCATATTTACCCTTAGTAATGAGGGTGAATATCTCATGACAGTGAAAATAATAGCACAGCATACTTTACTGAGTAATTACATCGCATAAGCTAATTTAATATATTGAATAAGTGACAGAAAGCTGGGAACAGGAGAATTCAGAGAGACTAGGAAATTGACACGTAAGATGTTACACAGATTATATTCGGTAGGCGTGCCATTGTGTCATATTGATGGTGTAAGTGAAATATTACGAGTTGTTTACTAGTTAGCAATTAACAAGATATACTGCTTTTTATAACAATGGCTGAATAATTCGGTGTCCATGGTAACTTCCTACGATTCCTTTAAACTTTAAAAATATTAACATCAGGTGTTTTATCGAATGTGCACACCCCACAGAAGTTGGCTACAAAACCAGCTATGTATGCATACATTCACATACCAAAGGGAGCTTCGCAGAGCCAATGACGCACTAATAGGTGTACTATATCTGCATAGGCAGGGCCATCTGACTAACGTTGGGTGACAAAATACCGTGTGGACTGGGTTTTACCTGCTAGATCATCAGTGAGTTATTTCAGGACAATGTATCAATATGATATCTATAAACTTCATAAGTTAGTCTGTCACGGAGTACGTTTGCTAAACAAATACATACCTGGAAGATATGGTGATGTTAGTATATGACAGTCGAAGAAGTCTTCTCTGTTGAGAAATACGCATACAGTTTAGTGCGCAAGTGCAGTGAAGCCAAAAGATGGTGCCATGTGTCGGCAGGTAGAATCATACGAAAGGTCAGGGTTGACGCTGCAATGCGACACAAGTATATCTCCATATAGGTACACATAGAAATAACACTGACCTCATTTAACCCTGCATATGCTATTAATTAACAACCAAGATTTCATGTACAAATAAGAAATTAGTATTTGAAATACGCATTAGTTGATGGTTTTTATATGGGTTAAAACTAGACTATGGGGTGTTCTTTATAGAATATCTTGTTTGATACTTAAGTCAGGAAAAATAATTTATTTGTAACATTTCCTTTATCTAAGTCTTCACTACAACACGTATGTACATGCTATTTAAGGTAAAGGGTATTCCCGTGTTACCTTTTTGATAACTACTATGAATAGACATAGCTCCGCCCCTAAATATATCGTCGGTATGTTAGGAAGTAACGCATTTAACTCTAGACATGATTGGCCCGTAATGGGTTAGAAGTAGGTTTGGATATGAAACAATTCGTCACATCTCGACAGATTCCGTACCTACGATGAAAGATACCGGAATCAGCCGAGGTTAGCCGAATGGATCTGAAACAGCTGTGACATGTTTTTAAATACAGAAAGTGTTGACAGGTGATGCTAGAGGTGCGTGTTTACACGTATCCACATTGAAATAATCAATATAAATTCCTTGGCTTATTAGGGAGTCATTATCTCAGGCTAAGCAATTTGTAACATTATTTACACCAATAAACAATGCATAACATTTTGCTTGCACCAATAAAACACCGTGACACACCTTCCAAAATCTGGACCAGATAACACCTTCTTCTATGTGTGATTCATAAGTCTTTCCAACGTCTCCTGCACCCAGTTTATCTCACTATTAATATATTAATAAATGTATTTATATCCTCACTGACACAATTAAGACTTTGTATGATAAAAGCAACATTGGTGTTTTAAACTTGATTAGTGGAATGTCGAAAATGTCCTCTTAATTGCAAATGGTATTTTCCCTAAAACATTTCAAATACTATATCTAAAATCTATAGGGTTATCTTAGAAATACATTATACCTGTGACTTATCAATACAAAGAGGCGGTCCAGAAAACTTCAAAACAAGAATATTATTTTCCGTATTCGGTCCGAATCAGTTCGGTTTGTTTATTTGTCAATCCCATGGCCTACAAAATGGCGTTCGCTCAATTTAGAAATTTCAAACGATTGAATACCGAGGACTCTAATGACGGAATTAAGCAGCTGTTTGTGATAATAAGAACGGATTTGGATCAATAAATAATCAATGTATCAATATACGCGAGGTAATTTTAGTTGTATAGTAGATTTTTGTTGTAAGCACCTCATAATTCTCCGATACGAAACGGTGTCGGATAATTCCATGTTTTCATACAGTAGTGCGCTCTTGCCCGACACAAGGCGTCAATCTGTCTATAACTGGGTGAATGAATCAGAACCGGATACGTGAGGTATAGCTGGATTGAGGATGCATAACCGGATAAATGATATATAACTGGATTAAAAATACAGAACCTGATAAATGATATGAACAGGATTAATGATCCAGAACCAAATACATGATATATAATTGGATTAATGATACAAAACCTGATAAATGATATGTAACTGGATTAATTATACAGAACCTGATAAATGACATATAACTGGATTAATTATACAGAACCTTGTACATGATATATTAACTAGATTAATGATACAGAACCTGATAAATGATATATAACTGGCTTTATGATACAAAACCTGGTAAATGATGTAGCAGGATTAATGATACAAAACCTGATATGTGATATAGAATGGGATCAATAATTTAGAACATGATAAGAAATATATAATTGGATTAATGATACAGAACCTGATAAATGATATATAACATGATTTATGATTCACAAACGGATAAGTGACATTGAATTTTGAGTAATTCTATTGACGTAAGCACTTTCTATTGACGTAAGTACTTTCTATTGACGTAAGCACTTCAACAAAACTTGACAATGTTGCTTGTTCAATGCATACATTCTATCAAGTTTATTTTATATCCTTGCGAAATAGCGGAAATGGAAAGCTCATTATGTTTGTAAAGAAGCAGGCATCTCAAGTGGCGAACGGGACATTACAATCCACCACATCACAAACATATATTTGCGCGTAACTGTGAACCTTACCAACTTCAGGTTAAGAGTACCATCAAGTTCATTATGTTTGTACACTGCTAGTCCTACAATCTGTCAAAGCTGCTAATTAGAAATTAACAATGCCCCTCTATTAGCTGTATTATCTATATACTTTTATCAATCTGAACGCAAAACAAACACAATTGATAGCATCTTTCAAATTTGGTAATGGAGACAGTTTGCTAAAAATAAATTACACAGCTTTGTCATCCTTCTATGGCTCATTGGTGATGCCAGGGGCCAAAAAGGTCGAAATCCAAATTGCTCTAAACTACTTCTAACAGAAAAACCGTTTAATTATTTAAATTTCAGAAATAGGAGGAGAATTAGTGAATTTCAAATTTATAAGAAAATAACTTAAGTAAGTAAGTCTTTGTTATAAGCCGTGCCACTACCAAAAACAGATACTTTTGGCACACCTCTTGGACTAAGAACAGTCTACCAACATAGTAATCAAATACTATCTTGATGACTGAAGTAAACACTATAAATATAACAATAAAGCTTTACCTAATCCAACTACGTCAAGTTATCCGTCAAAGTTTCTCACACTGTTTTTCAGTTTCCATAACTTTACATCATAAGGAAAGTCTGGGTAAAGTCATAGGTAGACGACCATATTTTTTTACCAAATCAACCTCCTCCAAAAGAAGCAATCGCAATTTCAGGTTTTAATCACATTGCGTAAGACCTCTTACCGTTAATATTCAGTATTTTCAAGCAGTTTTCGTGTTGTTATGGAATGGTTTTCATATATTATCTTCCCTTGCCACGTTACGATAACATATACCACAACAATACTCTCACAAGTACCAGATAAATGGCATGAAGGGTGTAAGGGTTTCGACAAATAGCATATACTTATTATGGTCTGAAACTACATTGCATTTTTCTGACATACTGTACACCTGGACATTTTCACCGCAGTTTAACTTTGCCATATTTACCCTCCGTAATGAGGGTGAATATCAGTGAAAATAATAGCACAGCATACTTTACTGAGTAACTACATCTGATAAGCGAATTTAACATTGCGCATTAACGGGTTTTACCAGTAGATTATACAAATTAAACTTTGTGACAGTTTCCCGGTACATAGTATGATTTTCCAATTCTAGGGTGTATTAGGGAACACTCCCAAAAAAGGCGAATTAAAATGGGGAAATATTGATGCCATAATTGACACAATGAGGAATACAAAACAGCTGTACTCAATAACTCTAGTTTTATCTCTTAAAAACTCAGGAGCGTGCTTCTGTTATTTTCTTTTATAATTGTGTAGTCGAATACATCTTAAGGTTATTAAAGTTAAGGTTAAACGGTGGAACCAAGGATTCAATTAATACTGCTCGACAACACGTTATATTATACAGAAACATTCAGTACAAGCACACGGCTTTATCTGCTAAAACAAAACTGTCTAAATAGTACTACAATACAAACCGGAATAGTATAATGCATGACAATATGTTTTACCCTACTTGTATAGATAACATTATGACTATCTATATTAAGAATCTAAAGCCGGAGCCTATTCACTGTGGATATGATCTCGTAAGAAGCATTTTTATATGAATTTGTCAATAGCTATAGTACATACTGATACACTGAAGGATATCATCTGTATCGAGCCAGATGGTGTCAGAAATGTGTATGATTCACGATATGGGTGGGAGGGGGTGATGACGAAATTGCCCATAAAATAACATAACCTTTATCAAATTAATGATGAAAATCAAAGCAAATAAAAACAATTGTAAGTAACATTAGTCAAGAAAAAAGGATGGGTCATATCAACATTATAAATGTCGGTCGAAAGTATTCGACCCACTAAGACTAACGACGATATCCTTTTTTGTTATGTGGGTAGATTTGATATAAATACTGTGCCTGGCAAATTAAATCTTCTCATTTACTTTTTATTAATGAACATTTCCTATTTTAAATAAAATACAAAAGAACGTGGAATAATGGTTTGGTTTATATAACGTTAAATCATAAATCATAAATTAAATTGTATGTAAATATTCCCGAATGCGCATATATGGAAAACCCCTAAACACTACGACGTAGATATTTCTTGAAAGGAAAAATTGTTGACCCTTGTCCTTGATATGAAAAAGATTGAAAACAAAATACTTATGATGATTTTAGTTCGAAAAAGTAAAACGATCAATAGAAACAGGGAAAATAAAGGGATTAAACAAACAAATTGCCTGATTTAGGACAATGTCATACATGCAATATTCGCTGTGACTGAAAACTAACTTCCTGGTACATAAGGAGAGGTGACGCAATCAACACGCTGAACGCGGGTTGGATAATTATTTAAATTTTTCAACAAGAAGTTTGTTTAAATACTGTGAAGAGTATCCGCGAAACTCCATACATTATTTAGGTACATTTCCATAAATTGTGTATAGTATGGAATGAAGTGTTAGAGGGGCGATAACTCTGTTATCGTTCCTCTGAACGAAATGTTAACGCGGCTAAATGTAGCTAATTTGCCGCATATAACAGCGATTTGAGTACGAAAAAAACGGCTCCATAACTTTTGCTGAAACTTCCCAAGTTTGTAGACCTCGGCGCGATCTACCTCCTTGTTTATCTGTTATATCTGGGGGAAATCTAGTTATGAAGATATTTGGGGTCAAACACGCCAAAATCGGCATTTTGACCATTAGGTTCTGTATAATTCACCCTGGAGAATTAACGCTTAAAGCTGACGAACTGAAACTCCAAACATAAATAGTCCAAGTTATTTTGAAGAAAACAGTAGATTTCGTTTTTCGATATCTTTC